TTTTTTACTCCATAAGCAAAAATTTAGCTAATCATTTTAGCTAAATTTAAATCTAAATCTGCTCCTGCTTACAGGAAAGGAGACTGAAGGTCGCAGCACAGTTCAAGTCGACAGAAAGGCCCCCGGGTTTAATTTTCGGGTAACCCGATGCCTTCTTTTAAGTCAGCTTTTACCCTCTATGTCTCTCGGCGTCATTTATCAGCTTGTTGCCCTTCGGCTTCACATCAGAGAGACTTCACTCCTCAGGTTTGGTGCCTCCTTTCTGCACGATTCAGCTGGAGGTTAAACTGTTGAAGCCTGAACAATGTCTCCTCTGAGTAAAATCAGGAGAGCGAGTCTTTATTCCTCATATTATCTTTTTCGATAAGTTAAATTTAAGTTGAAACTCAATAAATTAAAGTTTCATCAAAAACTAAAACAGTCCAAACGGATAAAACTCATATAAATCCATAGTTACGTATTAAACTGAGTGTTTTAATATCAATACTTCCTGGTTATAGCAGATCTAAAAAAAAAAAGATGTGGAATTTCTTCAGTCTTAATTAGAGAATTAATTAAAGTATTTTCATTAAATAGGTGATTTTATGGGGTTGATCAGCTGACTTACAACAAGAACAGAAGCTGACGTCAAAGCATGCAGGGAAAAGTATGTGAGCCTCAATGAACTGATGCTTCTTCCTGCAGTGAAAGGAAGCTCTGCGGTGCATTTGACATTTCTTAAAGAAAAAACGTTTTTTTAATCTTCTCAGATGCATCCTTGAATTATCTTTAACCGCCTGAAGCTGACAGCGATCTACGATTTCTGCTTGGCTTTGACGTCTCTAATTAATCTGGATTATTCTGTTGTTTTCTGGGAATCTGAGCGAACGCGCTGCTCTAATGTTGGATGACCTTACCACTATCTCCAGGCCGCCGTTTACAGGCTTATAGATGACTTTGTAGCCCTGCACGTTGCCTTCGGCAGTGTCCCAGTTGACGGTCAGAGTGGTGATGGTGGGGTTGGACACCCTCATGCCGCTGACTCCGCTCAGAGGCACTGGGAGCAGAAAGAAGACCAGATATTTGGTCAGTAGGAGCTTCTGCTGATTCCCTAAAAGGAGAATTTGGATTCCCGTTGCTGCTTACGCGTCTTCCCGTTCTCTGACTGCCGTCTGCCCTCCCGGGCGGGGTACACCGGCACCACGGACACGGTGTACTGCGTGTCGGACTGCAGGTTCCTCAGAACCAAGGAGGTGGTTCCAACGGGAACTTGCTCCTGCGTGGCAGATTCCCAGGATTAAAGAAAAGCTTTTGTTGTGCGTTTGAGGCACGACGGCTCCAGATTCAAAGCTTCTCACCATCTCCTCTTGTCCACCGGCTGAAGGTACGTAGAAGACCTTGTAGAGACGAACGGCGCCATCAGCCGGGTCCCAGTTAACACTCAGGGACGTCATTGTTGGGTCGGTCACCCTCAGGTTCTTCACTCCCCCTAAAGGCCCTGCAGGGGTAAGGGATGGTAGATGAAGGTAACCTGCCTGTGGATCATTCTAGGTTCTGCTTTTCCCCACCAGGTTCTTTACGTTCACATTCAAATGGTTTCAGACACAGAAAAGGGATTGAAAGCGTTTGATGAGACACAAAACAGCCGCACACACTGACGGGTCATTGGGACCTCATTGACTGGTCATCTGGACCTCATAGCTGCGTTATTGGGACCTCGTAGACGGGTCATTGGGACCTCGTAGACGGGTTATTGGGACCTCGTAGACAGGTCATCTGGACCTCATAGCTGGGTCATTGGGACCTCGTAGACAGGTCATCTGGACCTCATAGCTGGGTCATTGGGACCTCATAGA